TGGGGGCACCTGGGCACACCTGAGATACACCTGGGCACACCTGGGCACACCTGAGATACACCTGGGGGCACCTGGGCACACCTGAGATACACCTGGGGGCACCTGGGCACACCTGAGATACACCTGGGCACAGATAAAATACACCTGGGTACACCTGGGGGCACCTGAGATACACCTGGGCACACCTGAGATACACCTGGGCACACCTGAGATACACCTGGGCACAGATAAAATACACCTGGGCACACCTGAGATACACCTGGGCACACCTGGGCACACCTGAGATACACCTGGGCACACCTGAGATACACCTGGGGGCACCTGAGATACACCTGGGTACACCTGAGATACACCTGGGTACACCTGAGATACAGCTGGGCACACCTGGGCACACCTGAGATACACCTAGGCACACCTGAGATAGACCTGGGCATGGCTGGGCACACCTGGGATACACTTGAGATACACCTGGGCAGAGCTGGGCATGGCTGGGCACAGCTAAAATACACCTGGGCACACCTGGGCACGGCTGGGGGCACCTGAGATAGACCTGGGCACACCTGGGCATGGTTAAACACACCTGAGATACACCTGGGCACAGCTGGGATACACCTGGGCACGGCTGGGCACAGCTAAAATACACCCTGGCACACCTGGGGCACACACCTGGGATAGACCTGGCACACCTGAGATAACACCTGGGGGCACCTGAGATACACCTGGGCACAGATAAAATACACCTGGGCACAGCTGGGAACATCTGAGATAGACCTGGGCACACCTGGGAACAGATAAAATACACCTGGGCGCACCTGAGATACACCTGGGCACACCTGGGATACACCTGGGNGAACATCTGAGATAGACCTGGGCACACCTGGGAACAGATAAAATACACCTGGGCGCACCTGAGATACACCTGGGCACACCTGGGATACACCTGGGTACACCTGGGAACATCTGAGATACACCTGGGCACACCTGGGATACACCTGGGTACACCTGGGCGCTCACCTGGGCACACCTGGGATAGACCTGGGCATGGTTAAACACCCCTGGGCACTCACCTGGGGCACCCCTGGGCATGGCTGGGGGCGCCATTGGCACACCTGGGCACGGCTGGGGCGCACCTGAGACACACCTGGGGCACACCTGGGCACACCTGGGCGCTCACCTGGGCTCACAGGTGAGCTCACCTGCCCGCAGGCTCTGGGTGCTGGCCATGGTGGCGCTGAGCCTGGCCTGGCTGCCCGTGCTGCGGGCGGCGCGGGGGGCGCAGCTCTTCGAGTACCTGCAGGCGCTCTCCTCGTACCTGGCGCCGCCCGTGGCCGCCGTCTTCTGCCTGGCCGTGTTCGTGCCCCGCGTCAACGAGCCCGTGAGCGGCCCTGGGCACACCTGGGCGCACCTGGGCACACCTGGGCACGGCTGGGAGGGTTTAAAGGGGGTTTGGGGTGCACCTGGGCACACCTGGGCACACCTGAGCACTCCTGGTGGCACCTGGGTTAAGTTTGGGAGGTACCTGGGCACACCTGGGTGGGAGATTGGCACACCTGGGCACACCTGGGCACACCTGGGTACACCTGGGGGCACCTGGGCACGGCTGGGAGGGTTTAAAGGGGGTTTGGGGCACACCTGGGCACACCTGGGCACACCTGGGATACACCTGGGAGGGTTTAAAGGGGGTTTGGGGCGCACCTGGGCACACCTGGGGGGGAGACTGGCACACCTGGGCACACCTGGTGGGATTTAAGGGGGGTTTGGGACACACCTGGGCACACCTGGCGCCGCCCGTGGCCGCCGTCTTCTGCCTGGCCGTGTTTGTGCCCCACGTCAACGAGCCCGTGAGCGGCCCCGGGCACACCTGGGCACGGCTGGAAGGGTTTAAAGAGGGCTTGGGGCACACCTGGGCACACCTGGTGGCACCTGGGTTGGGTTTGGGAGGCACCTGGGCACATCTGGGCACACCTGGGGGCACCTGGGGGGGGGATTGGCACACCTGGGGGCACCTGGGCACAGCTTGAGGTGTTTAAAGAGGGTTTGGGGCACACCTGGAGGGGTTTGGGGCACACCTGGGCACACCTGGGTACACATGGGTGGAGTTAAAGGAGGTTTGGGGCACACCTGGGCACACCTGGGGGGGAGACTGGCACACCTGGGCACACCTGGTGGGATTTAAGGGGGGTTTGGGGCACACCTGGGCACACCTGGGCACACCTGGGCACACCTGAGCACAGCTTGGGGGAAGATTGGCACACCTGGAGGGGTTTGGGAAGGGTTTAAAGGGG